TGAGTTCAAAATATTCACATCTTAGTAGCCAGTGTGTCTCTATTTTACAAATCAGATCAGACTGAAATGTCCTGCTTCAATAAAAAAATGATAAAAATATCTAACCTATCTCAGCCATTTGCAGAGAGCTATACTAAATTGATACATACAGACACATACAAAAGACACATGCACAAAATAAGAAAACCATTTGGCTTAAAAATAAACCTGATATATAAAATGAAATAAATTCACCTTAAAAAGATATATGCATATGTGTATATGTATATAGTATATAGTATATAGAACTAGATGTAGTAGACCACTATATATATCTTGGCCAAAGGATCTCAATGTAAGATGACACTATAAAGGAAACTGAACAGTGTGTTAATGTGGTTGGTAAGCATTTGGCAAGCTAAGCATAATTTTCAAGAACAACCTATGTCTGAAGAGAAAAGTTGTCGATCCATATGTGCTACCTGCTCAAACATACGCTGGCAAAACATGGACACTAACTTCACAACTGATACAAAAGCTATGAGTGGCGCAAAGAGCCATGGAAAGATACATGCTTGGCAATACAAAACAAGATAGAAAGACCTGCATGTGGATCAGAGAACAAATGCAATTATGCAATATCATCAAGAGAGTGAAAGAATTGAAATGGAAATGAGCTGGTCACATAGCAAGAACTGATGGCAAGTGGACCAAGGCAGTCATAGAATGGATCCCAATACTTGATCAAAAGCATCCACGAAAAAGACTTAAAACAAGATGGACCGACGACATCAGCAAGTATTGTGGTCTAACTGGCAAAAGAAAATTCAGCACCGTATTGATAGGAAACATGTAGAACGGGCATTCATTCTGCAGTGAATAGACAATGGCTAGAATGATGATGATGATACTAAATTGCATGATTTGGGGCTGAAATTTTAAAGCTCAAACTCAAGCCAAATACCACTCACTCATCATGAAATCTCCAGAACTGTAAAGCCTACAAACTTGAAATTTGGCATGTATGGTCCTCTTGACTTCTAGGTGCTTGCTAAGAAAAGATTTTTTGAAATGACCATCAGAGCATTATTATTTCTTAATACAGTAATTAACATGCTCTGATGCTAAGGAGTTCTACTGCCCCTCCCCACTGCCAGTTGCCTCACATTCCGTTACCTCAGTTCAAACTGGCAGACGTTCCACTCCTTCACTGAGGAGCAGTCTGGGGCTCTTTATAATACTAAATGTCACTACCTCACCAAAATGTCTACACCTTCCATCTATGGAACTGCTTCCGGACTCAAAGCAGCGGGAGCAATATTCCCTGATGTGTTTCAATCACCGAGCACCATTGAGCCAACGGATTGTGAACCAGATTTCTCCTACATAGCCCAATCGCATGGTGTTGTTGCAAAGCACAGATATCCAGCTAGTATACAATACAACAGAGAAGTGGGGGGAGAAGGAATGTTTTTAAGCAAATAAACTCAGGCAAAGTCGTTAATTTCACATAAAATGGAATCCATTATTTTTCATTACACTTTCAGACTTTCTTTTCCCCCAATAAACATAATTTAATAGTTCTGCACTGTTTTACAATTTCCACTTCCTCCCATTTTAATTGTGTGTGCATGTGTGTGTGTGTGTGTTTGTCTTCATGCCACAAAAAAGAGACTTCAGTTTGCCTGTTTGCACCACCTTTTACTCATGTAGGAAAGACATTCAGCCATTTGGTATTCGATGCCAAAGGCAGTTGATGGAAAACAGGCCCGTGTATTTGGGAAGCATGATGAATGGACATTCATACTGCCTTATTGCTAATGAGCCATCGAGACAATATTCATTTTCTGATTTATTTAAAACATAAAAACAAAAACAAACCCACCCCACAGCTCCTGCAACATGTTGTAACAGAATCCTTCCCCTCTCCCCCCCACCCCTTAATTCCTTGATGTAATTGGCTGAAGTTAATCCTTCAGATTTAGGAAAGTTAACTGTAAAAAAAAGAGAGAGAAAGAAAGAAAGAAAAATCCTTTGCATTGCGTGCTTTGGTTCTCCTTTGCAATCCACATAATCAAAAGCTTCCTCTTATATGATGTTTGAAATCCATAATCACTGTTGACAGTGAGGCGCTCAAATTAAATTATGCATTGACCCCTTAATAAAACACAGCTGAGATGGAGTGAAATTAGCACAAAGAAAGGATGAGGGCAATTTGTATAGTGCAAGATTGAGTTTCAAAATACTTCCTGGTACTGTCAGTCTACAGCTTTTCCCACAAAAGAATAAACAGTTGTGCTTTGGGCTTAGGGCCAAATTAGACAATAAACACGTGGCTGCCACCATATCCAGCAGCGACGACGTATCTAGTTCCTTTTTCTGCAAAGGCTAATAAAATGCATTTCCTCCTGACCCTCCCTTCTACCTTGTTCAGTTGCATGATCTGGAGGTAGGTGCAGGGCCAGGACAATTGCATGGATTCTGGAGCCAGGCACAACAGAAGCCCCTTCAATTTAACAGAGTAATAGCAGAGTAATAAGAGTTGGAGGGGAACTTGGGAAATCTTCTAGTCCAACCAGATGGGATTTTTTTTACTACCAGTTCTGCGGGCATGGCTTGGTGGGTGTGGCAGGGGAAGGATACTGTAAAATCTCCAGTCAGAGCTGGGATTTGCTGGTTGTCCAAACTACTCAAAATTTCCACTACAGGTTCTCCAGAACTGGTCAGAACCTGCTGAATACCATCTCTGGCCCAGTCCCCTTCTCAAACAGGAAAGCCTATTCTCTTTCAGACAAATCCTTGTCTAATATTCTTTTTTAAACACCTCCATTTTGGATTTTAACAAGATTTTCTTAAAAGTTTTAGATTAATTCTCAAAATATTTATGTATAATAATGTTTTCCTGATTGGGATTTTTTTCTTCCACCTGCATCTTTAACGAAATCTACATTCTGATTCTTCAATTAAATAATATCTATATGTATCTATATCATCTATATGTATTTCTGTCTGTCTGTGTGTATCATAATTACATTCAACAAATATTGCAGGCTAGACATCTGAGTCCTACCCATGTGTAACCAAAAATATATGTTGCTTATATCAATGGAGTTTTCTTCTCTAGCAAGAGACTATAAGATCAGAGTATGTGTATGTTTGACTGCAATTTCACTGACGTGTCTCTTATGATGTTGACTAGATCTAATGGGAGTGAAGTTCAACGTATCTGGAGTGCACCAGATGGCATTCCACTGCCTCTGTCTTAACCATAAGAACTCTTTTCAAAGTATCTCATTAGATGACTAATTCATGAGGCAATTTTGGCAACTGCTGAAAAACAATCAGATAAAAAGGGGAAACCAAGCTTATGATTAATAAGAGGAAGGCAGAGGATATATTTATCAATACTTTGATAATATAAGAATAGCTATTTTGGAAATAAGTGACTCACTGTCTACTGAAATTATGCAGCCATGTCAACAAGACATTCTGTAGCTTCTGCCTTTCAAGGTTCAACCAGCAGCAATAATGGAACAAGCAATCAAAAAATACACTGCAGGCTAGTACTTGATAGACTATCCATGAAGGCCTCCACCCCCCCCCAAATCAGATGCTATCATGTATCTAGTTATAGAAAGGGAGGAGGAGGAGGAGGAGGAGGAGGAGGAGGAGGAGGAGGAGGAGGAGGAGGAGGAGGAGGAGGAGGAGGAGAAGGAGAAGAAGAAGAAGAAGAAGAAGAAGAAGAAGAAGAAGAAGAAGAAG